GGACGCACCTACGGCGCGACCGTGCGTGCCTCATCATTAATACGTGCGACGCAATTTACTCGATCGCCTCCTCCCATCTCGAGAAAAATCTAATTCGAATTCGACGTATCCTTCCTTATCCGGAAACGGAACGGATCTTTCAAGGAAACGAAATATATGAATAACCGCGGCAGAAAGAAACTCCTTCCTTCGCACATATATATACGTATACATCTATATATATCTCGTCTCCTAAACGAGGAACGTCTCAATCGAGGCGAGAAAGAGAGAGAGAGAGAGAGAGAAAGGGTAGTATTTTTTATGCACCGGTGTGCGGAATCGCGTGCGGGAAAGAAGAAGAAAAGAAGAAGAAAAGAAGAAGAAGAAGAAGAAGAAGAAGTAGCTTGGAGGAGGCACGGGGGGCGAGGGGGAGGGAGCGATTCGACAGGCTGATGGAGTGAGTGTTGACTTAGGATAACAGTCGGCTCATCGGTCAATCAGTCAGGTAGAGACCGACTACGGTAGGTCGGTGCTCCGTCTTCGGCTCGGCCCTGTCGTCTCGTTCGGACGCGCTCTTAAGTGACTCGCACGGTTCCGACCACCCGACGCGTCCCCGTCCTGGAAGACAAAGCGATCCTCGAGAAGGAGGGGGAGGAGAGAGGATCGAGAATCGAGTCGTAAACATTTGCGTCAACGCCGAGCGCGACGTGTCGTTCGTTCCAACGATCGAACCGGTCGTGTCCAACCTTCGGTCGGCTGTTGGAGGAGGAGGACGAGCCGCGAATTTACATTGCGCCTCGAGGGAGGAGGACACCACCTATTTCTCGAGATTTTTCGAGGGAGAAGAGAGGAGAGGAAAACTCCTCGAGGATTCGAAACGCGGTTGTTGGAAAGCGTCGAGTGAACCGGGCGAGATTCGAGGGAGCCGGGGTGGGAGAAAGAAGGACGAAGGGGAGCAAGGAGAATGGATTCACCCGTCAGTCACTCTCTGGCAGACCGCGAGAGAATCACAATGCGAAGCCCCTCCCCCCCTCCTTCCTCTTCCCTCGTCCTTCTGTCGGACCGCCCGTTCGCCCATCCACGTCCCTCTCCTCACGTCCGTCCGCCTGTCCGTCCATCCGATCGTCTCCTCGTCTGCTTCCTGTCACTCTCCTCGCCAGCCTCTCCCGCCAGCTTCTCTCTTCTCTTCGCATCGCAGGAATTCATCTCTCCTCTCCTGTCTCCTTTTGTTCACCCACCCACCTTCGCCCGCGCCACCACCTATTCGACCCCACCCTTCTCCATCCCCGAAAATTTTGCCTCGAAGGAGGATCGGATCCTCTACCGCCGATCGATATCGAACGCATTTGGTTGTTTTGCATTTGCATCGCGGTGTGTTTAACGCGACGGGGACGAGGACGACATCCTGGACGGGAGGAGGGGGAAGGAGGGAGGGGAGGGAAAAGGGATGCTGGAAGCGGGCGGAGCTCGGCGCGCATCGGTGGTCCGCCCTGGGTCCCCTTCTCGGTAGCGGGCCGATTCCTCGCATGCCTTTTACCTCTCGAGGCCCTCCCGTTGTCGTCTTCCTCGTTCTCGTCGTCCGCGCGGTCATCCTCGCGATCGTCTCTTCTTCTTCTTCTTCTTCTTGGAGAGAGAGAGAGAGAGAGAGAGAGATAAAGAGAGACGGACGGGGTCGGCTACAACAGCAGGCCTCTTCCATCGAATCGTTCACGGCCGAGCAGGGAGAAGGGCTGTGTTGGAAGAAGGGCCGTGGACCGCTCCAGGCCGAGAGAGACAATGGACAATGGGGACATAAATCTGCGTAATTAGTTGCCGATGCCTCCTCGGATCGATGCGCGATCTCTTTTTCCCTCCTTCTTCCGTGGCCCATCGGCGAACAAACGATCGTTTGGTTGGCCGGTCGGCAAAGTAGGACGGTGCTCTTGCCTGTCCCCACCCCTCTCGGAAGGGAGGTGTGCTTCGTCTCCTTTTCTCTCTCTCTCTCTCTCCACTCTTCCAAGCCTCTTCGAGGGAGATGGTCGCCGGAACAAGATGGCGAATATTTTTCCCTTCCGGAAACTCGAACGAAACACGACTTTGAGAAAAGTCAAGAGAAGCGATTTCGAGTCGAGTGCATTTATCGCGACGTTTCGCGGCAGACGTCGTGTGGCAGACGTTTATCGAGAGATACGATAAATGAAGCGATAACGAACAACAATGCGTGTTACGCGTCCCCGCGTTTTCTCGTTTCGAAAACGCCTCGAGACGAAACGTCTTCGTCCGTCTTCTTCTTCCTTTCTTCCTTCCTTCCTTCCTTCCTTCGTTCGGCTGCCACCATCCTCGCACAAGATTCGCATCTTAGACACGCATAGTCGAACTGATCGAACGATCGTATTTCATTTTCCGTTGCAGGGGAGGACGGAGTCGAAGGCTCAGGAGGGCCCGGCGCGGACCTCCAGGGGGAGGAAGGCGGCGATTGCGCGGAGGATGACGGCCCAATTAGTCCTAGCGAGAGAGGTTGCGCAACGGCGACGGCCAAGGAGGAGGAAGATGGGGACGCGACCGACGAGGAGGACGACGAGGACGGCGGATCGCCGACCGCTCCATCGCCCTCCGCGACAGCGAGACTGAACCCTGCCATTCTGAGGGACACCGGACCCCCGGACAGGTAAACATCCTCCTCCTCCTCCTCCTCCTCCATCCACCCCCCTCCCCCCCCACACACTCCCCCTTTCTCGTAGATCGAGACGAATCGAATCGACGGTAATCGAGTCGAAAGTAAGAAGAACGCAACGGAGAGACCGTCGCGTTGCGCGGCTATCGTCGAATGTGGGACGGGCGTAAATTTCGACGAACACGGTTCGCTTGAAACTCATTAGTCGGTGCTTTACCCTCGGAGCTCGGTGGTCGTAAACCGCCTAAATCAACGAGAGCGCCGCTGCCGTTCCCTTTGAAGTCACCGGCTCTCTTTGGCCTCCCCCCCACCACCTCGCGTACACACACGACCGTTGTTTGAGCGCAACGAATCGTCACCGTGCCGCGCGACAGAGACGCGGAGAGAGAGAGAGGGAGCGAGAGAGAGAGAGAGAGG